CAGCCCGTTTCTTCTGTCTGGCAGAAAGCCCTTCATCCCCTGCCAGCATTTCTAAGGCCAATAAAACAGAATTCTACAAAACATTTAGGACGTGCAAAGTCCTTGTGTCCTGGCTGTATGTATGAGTTTGATGCTTATGCCTTTACAAATAAAAGCATCTGCCCTTGTCCCAGAAACATCCTCGCATCGGCCACATCCGTGCAAACCTGTCAATAGGAAAGTGCCCAGAAATCTTTGCCTTACTCCTTGTTTAAAAGGACTTCTAGTGCCACCTCCTAGTACTCCATGAGCAGCTGTTTCCAGCTCCAGACGATATCGTACCCATCGTTACCAAAATTTCGCTTCACAATAAAGACCATACAGACGCTCGCGTGAGCCAGGACAGCATCACTACCCAGGTGACCCTCGCAACAGTTTGGTATATGGAATTCTTGACCAAACAGGCTAAATTTTGATGCCAAATGCATGTCTGAAACAGCAGAGCATGCTGCCACTGGTACCTGACGAGGTGGAAATTAATTACACGGGCTGCTCTACCCACTGCTTTACAGACGGCGTGAGAGCATTCTGAAAACGACACAAGTTCTCCCGCTCTAGATCGTGGCCAGTGCACCGCAGATCTGTAAGATCAAACCCGGCAAGTTTTTCAAATCGAGTTACTTCTGAACACGAGTTATTTCTTAGCATCATGTCATGAATGTTTTTAAGGCTGTATTTACACCTGGATGATACAAGACAGCGTGGGAGCACTGAGTTCACACGAAGCCTCATCACCACACCACAGCTGCAATGTTCGTACGGGCTATAAATTAACTTTTGCCCAAAGGAAATCTGCCACAGGTTCAGCAGTGCCCCAGACAAACGCTGAGCCCTTTGCAACAGACACACCACACAACAGCCAGCTTGGGAGGAAATTATTCTAGGAAACACTTGGGGAGCAACGCATCCCACACAGCCTCGTCAAATCTAACCATCATCGGCGAGCGGAAAGCTTGCCTACAGGTATCTCAGCTTTACAAAACTGACGTCTTCGATTAAAATACACCCCGAGCCCCTTTTCTGTGAAATTTTTTAATCTGCCCTTGATGATGCAGGAAGGAGGGTGCTCCCCACAGAAGACCCGCCGTTGTCAAAGCAAACGAGACCAGTCCTGGTGATGGAGGACCCGAAACGCAGAGACTTACCCTGACGAGGTCATGAAGGAAGGTTTTCACGCTGTCTGCCATCTCGACTCCAGCATCACCTCTGGTTCCAAAACTATCAACTACAGGGAGAGGGGAAAAGCCGAACCCAAACCTCTCTCATCCTGGAGAGATGGGAAACGGATGGAGCCTGTGGAGAGAGAAAACACAGGACCGTGGGCAGGCATTAACAGCATCGGTCTGAGCGGGGTAATTACAAGCTAAATCACACGCCCGCGATTTTCAACAGCCTTCCCTGCCCTCACTGCATTCCTGTTGGGCAACCATCCTCGAACACAGGGCCAGAGAAAGGACCCGTCCTGTTAATTCCACAGTATCTTGTATTAACGAACTCGGGGTTTCAAGAACAGCAGAGCCTGTGTTTCTAATGCAGCAGAACATCCCTCCCAACACCATGCTGCGCCGCTCATTTTCGGAAGAGAAAATCCAGCAGAACCAGCCCAGAGAGATGTGAAAACATCTTTGCTAAATCCAATGTTAATTTAACACTTTACAGCTCCGTGCCTCCTCTTCCTCACACGCCAGGTAAGAAACTCGAGGTCTACAATTAGGAGCCTGACAGAAGAAGGGCTGCTCTTGAGCTCTTTGCCCAAAGCAGTAATTACTCCAAACAGCCCTTTGCCAAAAATGTTGCAATGACTCTTCTGCTTCTTGTAAAGCACCACAGAAATACAGACAGCGTCTGAATTATGAAAAAAAAAAAAATCACCAGCTAATAAAACTCGTGGAGCTTTTCCACCAGGATTCAAACTGCTTGCTTCTCCTAGGCCAGAGCTACCGGTAGCTCTGGAGCAGGCTGGTGTCGCAAGCCCCAACATATCAGCGTCACTGTTGCTCTATAACGCACAGCACAAGACAGAAACAATTAAAAATAATTAAAAAAAAAAAAAAAGGTTATTCCGAGAGAAAACCTGCCAGGGTTTGAACTGCGCTCCCATGAAGCGGCGAATGCCAGTTCAGTTGAAACTGCGGAATCAGAACTGGCCTCCAGCTTTATTAACATCAAGTTAATCACAGGTGCCTTCACTCTAAAATCAATCCTTTGGAGGCAGAGGCGCTCAGCCCCACGTGCGGCATCGGGGTCTTTTCGCTTTAGCCAGGCGTCCAAGGTCCGGGTCCTGCTGGCAGAGCCGCAGCACAAACAAAGGCAGAAACGAGCTTTTTCTTTGTTCCAGGTGGCCGCGCCTCACCACCCTTTGGGCTCAGAAACGTATGGCGAGACCTGACCGCTGTACAGTTCCAGCTTTTAGAGAGAGCCCTGCCCGATTTATTTTTACCCAGGGGTATTCCTGGGTAACTGGGGGGCACCCCAGAGTGGGGGTCACTGTGGAAGGGGGGGATCCTCATAGCACCCCAGAGGTGCCCAGGATGGGGAACCCAGGCCTGCCCCACACTTACACCGGGGGTAAGGGAATCGTCTCCCTGCACTGTTAATGGGGGTGACCCCCATGGTTTCGGGGGGGG